AGGAAGCCACTTCCCTCACCTTCCCGCACGCACCTCGACTCCACCCCCGGATCCCTCAGATGCGTCGCCACTGCCGTCGTCACCAAGAGAGAGAGAGGGAGAGAGAGAGAGAGTGCTAGCGATGGCAACGGCGGGCCAAACGGATTGCCAAGCACACGCGAAGTGTATCCGCTGAGATCGCTGCCCTTCTAGATCTCCAAATCTCGCACGAAAGAAGGATCATGGGGATGGCGGCGGCGGCGGCCGGAGTCACTTCCTCCATCATCCACAGGTAACAAGTCTGTGTACCTCTCCTCCTTCTGTGCATCCCCTGTTTTCTACGAATAGCTTACTCGGTTTGGTCTCAGAGATGGTCAAATCAAAGAAGAAGAGGAGAGGCTGAGCATGTGTGTCACTGCCGTGCAGGAAGACGATGTATCCGAGCCTGTCGCTGCCGCCCCATCGCTGGAAGAGGCGCCCTCATAGGTTCTCGAGGCCGAATGCGACCACAAGAGAAACCTCGAGGAGGTGAGGTGAACGACACAGGGGAGGACGCCAACCGACTGCGCGTGGAAGACTGGAAGCCAACGTGCAGGTTAATCTCTGCAGCACCCCACCCCTCTATATCCAAGATTTGGTAATGTTAATGACCTTTCTGAACATATGGGCAGGGACAACGTGAACATGCAAAACCAAATAAGAAAACGGGCATTGACGCTACTATGATTTGTCATGTGCTAATGAAATTTGCAACCCAAATTTATCAAAGAATGGAGATCTCACCTCATTCATAAGGACGAGTTGGCGATGCTGGGTGGCGATGGCCAAGATGATGCGGATCGGCAACTGGACGCCGGCACTAGGATAGGGCAGGTCGACACTCCTTTTCTCTTTCTACTTGTCAGCCTCTCGAATGTCCTGGAAGGAGCTAGGGATTGATATTTTGTTGTCGTGCTAGCGATTATCTCTCAACCATCGCTCCAACCTTTTTCTGCAGTGAGCAACGGTCGATGACTAGGGTGACATCCACAGCAAGGCGGAGCAGGTACCAGGAAATTAGCAATCAGGGAAGCTTCCTCGAGAATCTTGTTGGTTAGAAGTTCATGCATGGATCGAGTCATGTAATAGTTAGTTTTGATTAGCATATGTATTACACTCTGCCATTAGTTCTATTGGTCCTATATTTCTGTCGGTTCAGTGGATGTCTTAGCTTGGTCCTCGTTGCGTACTCGTGGTGTGCTTTCTACGACTGGTTTGACGATGGATTTATGCTGAACTATTTTATTCAACTTCATGGATGTGTTTCTTGACCCTGTTCTGAATCTTTCTAATTCTTGGGCGTATGTGTGTATGTATATGGTTTTTGGTATTATCTATTAAAATATCCATTTGAAGTAAAATGGCATACTTATAAATTTAATAAATTTTCGTATCTTCATTTCTCATTTCTTATGTTGCAAAAATTGGAAGTTATGAGGTAATTCCGTAATTGCGCTACAGCCAACTAGAGGCATAATGTTGTCGGCTGCCACAAGAGTGAAAGTCCGTCGGGCGGTGCCTCTGTGGGGTCTCCAAGACAATGACGATGAAATGAAGCTAACCAGCCTGCTCCCTCTAGGGATGCGGCAACCATCAATGGACAGAAATTCCTATTCTTGGACCTTGAGTTCTCTCCTCTCCCAGCTTGCACTCGTGACTGGCTAGAGAGCAACTACCGCATTCATGGTAGGAGATATTGATTCTTGGTTTGTGTTCTCTGTTTGTCAATCTTGAATTTGATTATTTGGTCATGATGCTCACACTGTTAGTTTATTGATCTCCCAGGTTTCATCAAAGTTTCCACCAGTCTGATTCTTCTTCTGGTAACTCTGAGTGCTCAATGCAATTATACAGTGAAGAGGGACTGGTAACTAAATTATTGTTTGTTCTACAACTCCAGAATATTGTAGCGTTGCTGCACTATTTCTGGCATGTCTCTATATTGCCATTGGATGCCAAGCGGAAAGTCTCAGTTATCTAACAAACTAAATAGGTACTAGAGGAATTTCTTGTCTCCATAATAATTTTTTAGCTATCCACGGGAACATTTTGGTTGTTGCTCAGATGACTTCTAAGTTATTTTGGTAATTTCTAAACACTATGTTCATCTAATCTTTACAATGCCTCCAAGTTCTGGTAGCAGTATAAGATGTTTGCTTACATTAAGCAATACTTATAATATACACAATATTTTCCTCAAAGTTTATCCCAAATATTAGTGATATACATTTTGTTCAGATGAAGAATCGATGGAGTTTGCTTTAAAAGGTATTGAAAATGCTTATTAAAAGCTTCTACAACCTATTCTACATCAATATCTGATTTAAATGTTATAAGCAGGCTTTTGCCTGAAGGCATTTCCCCTACTATATATATGAAACAATGCATGCATAATTAATGAGAAGCAGTTACCTGTTATATGACATGTCAGACATGGCGTCTTTGGGAGGTCTGTGAAGATTTCGTTAATGCAGTATGTATACAATCTATGATGACAATTTATGTCGATTGTTGCATGATTATTTGTGACGCTGCTTATTTTTCATCTTGACAGTACTGATTAGTTATATTTATTTACTAAGTGTAGATTGTTTTGTTGTCATCCAAAGCCACTTCGTGCATCTGAACATATTTTTACTGAATATATATAATATTTATCTCCATTACTAACTAATAAGATACTTATGTTGAAAAAAAAAATATGTTTCATGTGTGAGTATCCATATATTTATTGCACAAAAACACGGGTGCGGCAACGCGCACCGTCAATGATCTAGTACTCCGTATTATCAAATCGGAGGGAGTACATCATCACAACATAAATATACGGTACCATCAGTAGTAACGAGCAACGGTCCAACATTCCTTGTACCTCCCGCCACACCGAGGAGGAGCTCACCATGGAGCCCGTCCTCTACGCGACGTGCATCTTTCTTGTCGTCTCCTCTCTGTACGTCCTCCGCCACTTCGCCGATACCCGCCGCAACCTGCCGCCGGGTCCCCCCTCATGGCCCCTCATCGGAAACCTCCTCGACCTCGGCGCCCAGCCGCACCGCTCCCTCGCGCGCCTCGCGGAGCGCCACGGCCCGCTCCGAAATCATTCAGGTGAGCTTACGCACCCGGGTACTGCTATCCTGGACGTCCATATTCGTTGGGATGTGTGCTACACGGAACGGAAAATATTAGGGGTCACGTTATCTGGCAGTGTTTGACAGACGTAAGGGACCGTGATCGCCTACTTGGGCTAGGGGGAACTGTACCAGATGGCCCATCCGCTCGCACAAAGGACAGACACATGTGGGCTTCGAAAGCAGGCATCTCCAGAAAGGAGACAGAGGAGTCATCCGCGGTCGCCCCGTGACATTTTCTCCTCCGTCTTCCTGTGGAGCTAGCTCGGCGGCGGGGGAAGAAACGAGAGAAGGAACGAGATCTGAGAGGCAGCTTCGCTTGCCGAGGAGGGAGGAGGGGGAATCATTCGCCAGTCCGGGTCTGCGGGCGCAGATTTTGGAGGAGCATCGCGAAGAAGAAATCTGCGGCGCCATCGGCCGTTGGCCGGTGGGAGGAGGTAATTACGAGTCCGGCAGAGCCACTTATGCGTTTACGACGTATTAGGGGGCGAGGGGGTTGGGCCTTGATTCATGCAGCAACAGTTTTGATTTTGTCAGTATGTACTTATCTTGTTTGTTTGCGGATTGCAGAGTTATCCGGGAGGGAGGCAGAAAGCTAAATCTAGGTTCAGTTCCAGCTACCTCCGTCAACATGCGGGTAACTGGCGCCGCCCGCACTGGAAGCTGCTCGTCCATGCCGGCGGCGAGATTGGATCTGTACCTCGTCAAGGAAAAGCTCAAATCAAAACGGAATCACCACGATTCTGGAAGAAAACAATCATCGGTCGGAAATCCCATCCAGTTCTAGTAAATCAGCAGGAAAAAGGACTGATGCGTACCCAATGGAGTTGATTTGCGCCGCATCGAGGGGGCACAGCTCCGTCGCCATGAGAACGCTGACCAGGCCGTTCCCCAATTTGTGCGTGCATAATGGGGGTGAGCTCGCTGCAGACTCGATCGTCGGTGTCACGGGCGTGCTCCCAGTATTTTTTTAGCTGGCACAAACAAACAAATTCGTGCAGAGCCTAGTACGTCCAAAAGGTCCTGTGACAACGGTCTCCGTAACCTCCATATGCCACGGTAATCCGACCAGGCAAACGATCATAATTGCTGAGCATCTCGAGGTGCGGACTCCAGAACGAGCGGCCGAGATAGAGCGACCCGGGTGCGTACGCTCAAGAAATCCACTTCCCGGCCCGCTCATGACGCTCCGCCTCGGCGCCCTCACCACCGTCATCGCCTCCTCGGCGGACACCGCCCGCGACGTCCTCCAGCGCCACGACGCCGCCTTCTCCGCGCGCTCCGTGTCCGACGCCGCCCGCGCGTGCACCTACGACAGCCTCTCCATGGGCTGGCTCCCGCCGAGCAGCCCCCACTGGCGCGCTCTCCGCAAGCTGTGCTCGGGGGAGCTCTTCGCGCCGCACCGCCTCGACGCGCACCAGTCCATCCGCCGCGAGAAGGTGCAGCAGCTCGTGAGCCACGTCGCTCGGCTTCGCGAGAGGGCGCCGCCGTGGACGTCAGCCGCGTCGTGTTCACCACCGCGCTCAACCTGCTCTCCTGCACCATATTCTCAGCCGACATCGCCGACCTCGACGACAGACAAGGGACGGGGCAGTTCAGGGCCGTGATCGCAAGCTTCACGGAAGTCGCCGGGCTGCCCAACTTGTCGGACTTCTTCCCAGCGGTCGCGCCGCTCGACCCGCAACGTCTGAGGAAGCGCCTCACCGCGGTGCTCAAGCGGCTGCATGCCATATTCGACGAGCAGATCGAGAGGCGCATGCGGGAGCGCACCGCCGGCGAGCCGCCCAAGGATGACTTCCTGGACGTGTTGCTGGACTACCGCGGCCTGGAAAATGGCCGGGGACTCGATCGGAAATGCTGCGCGCATTACTTGCGGTATCTTCTTTCGCTTTCAATAATTCTCGGTGGACTAATAAGCCACTTAACATTGACACTGTCATGCCTAAAGTTGCACTGTTTGAAGTTTGCAATTACAGTCAAATGCTAATGCAATTCTGGATTTATAGTTTAGAACTTTACATACAGTGTAACTTTGATGTGATCATGGATTCATGGTTATATGAGGGGTCGTCTAAAGACTTAGAAGGTGGCTGGGATTTTTTAATGGGGCAAACTTATAGATTGAAGGTTCCTCGCTCTGATTCCAGAAAAAAAAAAGGTTCCTCGCTCTGGCTAATTCTCAGTGCGGACCAAGAACTTTCCCTGAAATTACACGCACTTAAGATAAAGTTTCATTATATGAGGTTGTGTGATGTTTGTGTAATTTAACTTTAGTTCATAGTTTATACACCAAGTAACATGGAATGACTAGATGAGGATTGTGAGCGTTGATTTAAGAATTCAGACATGTGATGTGACTGCCATTAAGAAAGTATAAATAGCCAATTTGCACGATAGATGATCTCTTCTTAAGTGACATGTGATGATTGGATGAGAAATTGTGAATGTTGAATCAAAAGTTTAGGCATGTGATGTGACTGCATCAAGGAAAAAATCAAGAAAGCTACAAATAGATGATCCCATCTTTTATACGCAGCGTGCTCAAACACGTGCATGCTTGAATATTCATGTTTTGATTCTATTCTCCATTTTGCTTTGGCGTTTGTTAATTTGGCCCTTGGTTATCATTCCTCTAGCTAACAGAAAAGTATAGCGCCAGGAAATATATCGCATCCCACATGAAAAATAAAGAATATAACACATTACTATTTTTTAGACTCGATTAATCCCCTTGTTTTTGTCAAGCAGGATTTGTTTATAGCTGGAAGCGATACAAGTGCAACAACCTTCGAGTGGGCAATGGCTGAGTTGCTACAAAACCCATCAGCCATGGCGAAAGCTCGTGAAGAACTTGCTCAGGTGATTAGCTCCAAATCAGAAATCGAGGAATCGGACATTGGCCAGCTCGAGTACATCCAGGCCGTTGTGAAAGAGGTGTTCCGCTTGCACCCTCCCGCTCCATTCCTTATACCCCGCCAAGCCGAAGCGACCACGGAGCTAAGAGGTTACACGGTGCCCAAGGGCGCGCGCGTGATGGTGAACGTCTGGGCGATTGGCCGAGACAGCGAGTTGTGGTCCGAACCAGAGAGGTTCATACCGGAGAGGTTCTTGGGGAAAGACATGGATTACCGAGGCCGAGACTTTGAACTCCTTCCGTTTGGTTCTGGCCGACGGATCTGCCCAGGGATGCCGCTGGCTGTGCGCATGGTGCATCTAATGCTTGCGACACTGCTGTACCGGTTTGAGTGGAGGCTTCCAAGAGAAGTGGAGGAAAATGGGGTGGACATGGGGGAGAAGTTTGGGATTGTGCTAGCATTGGCCACCCCTCTCCAGGCCATAGCTGAACCAATGTAACTCAAACGGTGCTATTTCTGTTGGCATTTCGGTACTTTGAATTCCATGGAGCATGGAGTCCCTGTATTGAGAGAATCGAGAACCAACACCTTCAACCAATCCACTACTTCCTTTCTCTTGTTCGCACATTGGAATAACTATGATGTCTCGATTAGTGCAGGTTGCTAGACAATAATTTCAATCTTAAATACATGCTCTTTTGACTATAGTGCATTATCAACTTTACAAGGTCTAGATGGATGATATTCAGACATTTCACAGTGGATAGTATCATAGACCAGTATTATAATGCACTATACCACTTTAATTGCTACTCCCTCCTTCCATCTATGTAGAGTCTAATGTGTTTTCTTAGACTACCTTTGATTATTGATAAGATTAATAGTATATGAGATGTATAATGTGAAAATCATATCATTGGAACCTCCTTTCACGTACGGATTTGACGGTATACTTTGTGTAACTTGCATGTCATATATTTTTAGTCTATCATTTGATTAAAGTTAGCCACGAAAAATGAATTTGACCCTATATATATGGATAGAGGGAGTACTCTTTTTTGAACAAGGGAGGGGTCTAGTAGGACCTAAATCTATGTTAATATTGAAACAATGGTACACAACGGTTTACAAAAGGACTCTGAGTTAAACCTAAATAACAAACATTTTTTTCGAAAAGGGGGGATTCCCCGACCTCTGCATCAAAACGATGCATACGGCCACATTTTATAAATAAAATAGGTTCAACAAGGTCTTAAAGTCGTGAAACAAAATAAAGGCGAGCTCACATAAAGCCTCAAGGCCAAAACAATAAAAGGCCATGAAGCCACAACCGGCTGGCATAATAAAGATAGGAAAACTAATCGCCTATCCTATTACATGACCGTCATCCAAACCGGTTGAAGATATCCCGTGCTACCATCTCCCACCGAACAGATCCAGTATCCAAACGCTCCCTGGCCTCCGTCGGAGTGAGTAAGGACCACATACGGATCAATGCCGTAGTACGGAATACAACCTGCAAAAAATGAATAGTAATTGTTCTGTTAAAAGCCAAATCATTTCTGCAATTCCAAATTGCTCATAACAACGCACAAACTCCTACACGAATGTGTCTAGCTGTATCGCACTCTATCCCATCCAGCCATGTTCCAAATAACGAACCGTCCGAGCTCGGACGAGTAATGTTAAAGGCAATTTGCATGGTGTGCCACAAAATTCTCGCCAACGGGCACTCAAAAAAGAGATGCTTAATGGTCTCGTCCTGATCACAGAAACTACACCTAGTAGATCCTGTCCAATTGCGCTTAACCAAGTTGTCCTTTGTTAAAATGACTTGTTTATGGACAAACCACATAAACACTTTAATTTTCAAATGAACTTTTACTTTCCAAACATGTTTGGAACTAGGAATGACACTCGAGTTAATAACATTGATGTACATCGACTTAACAGTAAATTATCCAGACCTAGTAAGTTTCCAACACAACTGATCGGGCTGATGAGCTAGCTGAACTTCCATCAGTCTACTCACGAGATGAAGCCATGCTTCCCATCTATCACCAACAAGCACCCTCCGAAACTGGATATTAAGGGGAATGGACTACATAATTGTTGCAACTAGCGCATCACGTCGCTGAACAATACGATACAGGGTCGGGTACCGGAGCGCCAATGGTGTATCACCAAGCCAAGTATCCTCCCAGAAACGAGTATCATTGCCATCACCGACTATAAACTTTGTTCTATTAAAGAAGGCCGCCTTAACTCTCATAAGCCCCTTCCAAAACGGCGAATCAGTTGGTCTTACTGTCACCTGTGACAAAGTCTTGGACTGCAGATACTTGTTACGAAGAATCTGCGCCCAAGTTGCGTCAGTTTCAACTGATAGCTTATACAACCACTTACTGAGCAGGCATCTGTTCTTGACCTCAAGATTCTCGATACCCAGACCCCCTTGGTCCTTTGGTCTACAAATAATATCCCACTTGGCGAGTCTATACTTTCTCTTTAGTTCATCACTCTGCCAAAAAAAATTTGATCGGTAGAAGTCCAGCCTTTTCCTAACCCCAACTGGAACCTCAAAGAAAGATAGTAGGAACATCGGCATACTCGTGAGCACTGAATTAATAAGAATCAACCGGCCTCCATAAGACATGAGTTTGCCCTTCCAGCAACTAAGTTTCTTCTCGAACCGATCTTCGATGCATTTCCACTCTCTGTTTGTTAGTTTACGATGGTGAATGGGTATACCTAGGTGAGAAAAAGGTAAAGCCCCTAATTCACATTCAAACAATTGCCTATAGGCCTCTTGTTCCTCCTTGGCTCTACCAAAGCAGAACAACTCGCTTTTATGAAAGTTAATCTTTAATCCGGTCAATTGTTCGAATAAGCATAACACCAGCTTCATATTCCTCGCTTTTGCCAAGTCATGTTCCATAAAGATGATTGTATCATCAACGTACTGTAGAATGGACACACCCCCATCAACTAGGTTAGGCACCAAGCCACCCACCTGACCGGCCTCCTTTGCCCTACCTATGAGAATTGCCAACATGTCAACCACAATGTTGAACAAAATAGGGGACATTGGATCACCTTGCCTCAGGCCTTTGTGTGTCTGGAAATAATGACCTATATCATCATTCACTTTAATTCCAACACTCCCTTTTTGCGTAAAGGATTCTACCTGGCGTTGCCAAGCTTCATCAAAACCCTTCATGCGTAAGGCCTGTTGAAGGAAGGGCCATTTGACTTTGTCGTACGCTTTCTCAAAATCCACTTTGAAAACAACCCCATCCAGCTTTTTGTGTGGATTTCATGGAGCGTTTCATGAAGGACCACAACCCCTTCAAGGATGTTCATGTCCGGCATGAAAGCAGTTTGGGTGGGCTGCACGACAGCATGTGCGATCTGTATGAGTCTATTTTTCTTGACCTTGGTGAAAATTTTGAAACTAACATTAAGAAGACAGATGGACCTGAATTGCTCAATTCTCACACCCTCTGTTTTCTTAGAAAGAAGGGTTATCGTTCCAAAATTAAGCTGAAAAGTTGAAGCTGTCCAGAGAAAAGAACATTGAACAAAGGCAACAAATTCTCTTTAATGATATGCCGGCACTTTTTATAAAACTCCGCTGAAAATTCATCGGGGCCCGGCGCCTTGTTATTTTTCATATGCGAAATGGCCTCAAACACCTCTTTCTCAGAGAAAGGAGCCGCAAGAATATCATTCTTCACCGCTGTGAGTTGAGGAACATCCTCAATCCTTGACTCATCCAGAGACACACAGTTCTCTTCTGGAGGGCCAAACAACTGCTTGTAATACTCTGTAATGTACAATTTTAGGTTTTCCTGTCCTATAATTGTACCTTCATCTTGCTCGAGCTGAAATATTCTCTTCTTTCTATGTTTACCATTAGCGATCATGTGAAAGAATTGAGTGTTCGCATCCCCCTGGACTACTCGCCGGACCTTGGCCCGCAACGCCCACTTCAACTCCTCTTCTCTAAGAAGTTCTTTCAGCCGCAATTCCGCATCAAGCTTGGCATGAAGCTCCGCGGCCGGCAGCACCGTGGTTTCTGCTTTTACATCTAGGGACTGAATAAGGGAAATGAGCCTTTTCTTTTCGACCTTATAAATCCCGCTAAGGTGCTTAGCCCACCCACGCAGGAAACTCCTCAAATGCCTAATCTTATTCTGCCAGCGCTGAAGCGCAGTTTTCCCTCCTGAATCCTTAGCCCATTCTCTGACCACGAGATCAAGGAAGCCTTCTCGTTCCAACCAAGCCAGCTCAAAGGAGAACGCGTTTTTGTTCCCCAGGTGGGTGGCCTTACCAGAGTCCACAAATAACGGCGTGTGGTCAGAAATACCACGGGACAAACATGCCCCCTAATTATACATAATGGACCTAACAACAATAACTCACGGATGTAATCTTGTCCGCTCGTTATCGCTGGGACGACACGACGAAGTCTCCATGACACCTAGTCGCAGGTTTCATAGTGAAGATGCAGTGCCTCCCTTTTGGTTTCTTGGTCGAGACTCCGGGAACATGAAGAATGGCTGTCCTTTGACCATCAGATCTGATGGTGTGATGAAGTCGTCTGGCAGCCAATCGTCATGTTTAGCATCGTAGCCACTGGTTTTTTTATAGAGGAATTACCACATGTTCATTATTAAACAAACAAATTACAATGAGTAAACTGGTGGATACAGTGTTTACTGCAAACGCGTCGGCTGTCTAGCGCGGTATTGAACATGGACCGGAGTTAGTAAAAAGGGGCATGATTTGGCGTGTTGGCAATGGGGAACAAATTAAAACATGGAGAGAACCCTGGATTCCGAGAGGCCCATCTTTGAGGCCTATTTCTCAGAAGGGGATGTGCTGTTTAAACAAAGTGTCTGATTTCATCTAGCAGAATGGGAATTGGGATATTGACTTACTGCATAAATTTTTTATACCGGTGGATGTACAGATCATTAGAGGGATCCGAACCTCGCCAAGTCAGGATGAGGATTTTCTATCCTGGTTCCCTGGAAAGTTTGGCAAGTTCAGCGTTAAATCGGTGTACCACTTAGCAATGCAAGAACATATACAGAAGCATGGTCCTTTTCCAAAAAAAAAAAATACAGAAGCATGGTGGTGGCGCATGCAGCAGCAGACCTGAAGGTGATCGGCCATGCTGGAATCTGGTTTGGCAAGCAAGAGTTCCTAGTAAAAATGCGTCCCTTTGCATGACGAGACATCACATACCAGTCTCGGCCTCATGCCGGATGTGTGCAGCGACTGAGGACAGCTCCTACCACGCATTGGTCATCTGTCCTAAGTCACATGAGCTCTGGGAAGAGATGTGCCAGGTCTAGCCATTGCCAGCAAAGGAGCAAATTCTGGACGCGGGTAAAGAGTGGCTGTCTCCACCGCCTAATATCTCCAGAATTTTTCTGACTAGCTACCTAAGGTCCTATAGTCAAGCACAGAATTATGGTATTGAGGAGATCA